AGCGAAATATGTCACATTATATAATGACTGTCACCGAGTCATCTTTTTGAGAAAATGGCCTTCAAAGTTTTCTCTTCTCTGGAATCCATCTATCTGATTGATTTATTAGCGGAGCAAATGATCAAAATACTACGGAGGGAAGATATTTTCGTTTGGATTACTGGTCTGGTCTCGCGAGTGTATACGTGTTTGTGTAATTCTGCGTTTGTGTGTATTGCCTTTGTTTCCCGGGGAAAACCCTCACGAGAAACACCGGCTGTTGTTATGCCTGCTGTGACATTAAATTACTCCGTTCTCTGCTTGTAATTATGCCGTTACAAGCTTCAAAGTTGTATTTATCATCTGAATTTGCCGAAACAAGTTTAATATTCTGAAAGCCAAGACTTTGTTTAATTGAAATCAGATGAAAACAAACTCTAACGGACCCTGCCGTGTTATTTATGATTACTCTACGCTTACATTCATAATGTCAGCCGGAGGGAGGGGGGGCGGCGCTGCGGAAGAGCAGATTGCCTGTCATCTTCCCTTTACAAGCTTAAAGAATGTATTTATCGTGTGAGTTTGGAAATAAAAGTTTCATATTCTGAAAGCCAAGACTTTGTTTGTTTAAAATCAAACAAAACACCCGAACCCCAAAAAAATAGTTTTTTACGCAAATCCACGTTTATTTTTAAATGAGCCGTTGCGACTTCCGACTGATTTCGATAGAGCGGGTCACATATATCCTTTATTACTGATATGTATATTCACAGTGTTGTATATCATACTGCTGATGTGACGAACAATGTCACAAATTGGGATCAATAAAGTATATCTCATGTTATCTCATCTTAGGCCGCGCTTCAGAGGTGTTTCCTTACAGACCTTCATTCATCTAAACCCCTTTGGTTTTTCCAATTCTTTTGTCTAAGTTTCATGGGTTGATAAGTGTTGTAATAATAAATTGTGTGTGTGTGTGTGTGTGCAGCTTGAGGATGGAGCTGTCTGTCCGGCTGGTGGTGCTGCAGCAGCTGTGGGAGGGCTGCGGGGTCAGCACGGTGCAGCAGGGGGGGCAGCAGCTGGGGGGGCTGCTGCTGCTCTGCCTGGCCTGCAGACTCTGCTTCAGACTGGGTGGGTGCTCTCTCTTATCAGCAAGCCTTCATAGCAACACTCGTCTTCATTATTTCATGTGGATATAGCTCAAGAAAAAGGATGGTATGGTGTCTACTAACATACTGAGATAATGTCCCTTGATTTCAACACTACTCCTATTCAAGATCAAGTGACAGTGAAATAGAATTTCTTTTTTTTAAACATAGTAGATTTTCTGTCATCCATGTTTACTACAATGGGCTAGAATATACCTAAATGCAACCGGTTTATGATGTGATGTACGATGAAAGCTTATCATCATTTATCAAATCTTCTTGCTTATGTTCCTCAGGAGGTGAGTCCACTGTGAAGCATGTGTTGTCCGTGCTGGCGGGGGTGTATGGCCTCTTCCTGTTCTTCCAGCTGCACATGCTGTGGGTGCTTCTGCTCAGTGTGCTCTGCTACCTGGTTCTGCTCCTCAGCCGACACTCCAGCAGCAGAGGAGTCTTCCTCTCTGTCTTCATCCTCATCTACCTCCTTGTTGGGTGAGAAACAATCTGCAAAAACACATATGTTCCTGGAAGCTGAAATCATTTTCGGAAATCTAAAACAAAGAAGGGAGTGGGTAATGGCCTCTTCTTCGCGTCTTACCATCTTGCACAGGTGCTGTCGCGGCAACAAAATCTGTACACAGACGGACACACAGAAATATAAACACCTAACAAAGTATTAAATACCCCTCTGTGGTACTGTAGGTACACAATGTGCCATGATGACACGCACACACACACACATCGATTTATGCTTTGGAGAAACACTCGTTATCGTCATGTCAGGTTTTTGGTGGATTTAATCAAGTCTTGGATTGCAGAGTATGAATGTCCTCTTGCTATTTGCAGTTGATAAATACTTGTGTAAAGTTTGTGAAGGCAGGAGGAAAAAAGCTTCCGCAATCACCGTCTCCTCTCCGTTCCTCCAAACCCCGCCCCCTCCCTGAAAATAATGAGTGACAGGCTGATAGTAACCTGTAGGGATGTAACGATATACCGAATATCGCGGTATCGCGGTAAATAAACTTCCCAATACCGTCGTGAGACTGACTAAATCTACCGCGATTTTTTTTTTTTTTAAATATTTTTTTTTTTAAAACACTTTTTTT